TTTTAATTAATTTTGTAATGTTTTAAAAGTGCGCAGCACCCCTTTCTCTCCCCTTTCCCTCCCCCCTCCTTCTGTTCTTTTTCCATTTGCGTCCGTTGTTTTGCCACAACTGCTCCACTAAAAGGCAAAAGTGTGGTTTTCAAGGCATGCGAAGCTGCTCAATCTATACTGCTCACGAACTTCAACAATTTCTTACTCTCGCTACCGCTTCATCTTCCAATCGGTCAAGATTTCTTCATAGACTATGCAGTAGAACAGAATCCGAATTTTACAAGGTGGGTTTTATTGCTTGACAGAAGATTCCAGAACTCTAACTTGGGTGCGTTGCAGCTCATACGTTGAAGCTGAAGCTGCAGCAGAAATATTGTACGATGATCACTCGTGCCATCCAGAAAAAATGGAAGAGTGGACAGGTAGTCATTGCAGTTATTTCCTACTTTTGAAAAAATTACCTTGGCAATTTGGTTTTGAAAAGGCATTGGATGTGCTGACCTTGTTTCGATAAATTTCTTAAATCAATTAGTTTCATTAAATTGAAGACTTGCAAAAATATGGCTAGAGCTGTAGTATAAAAAGCACTGCAGTGCGGAGTTGCACCGAAAAATTCATTGGAAAATTTAGAAGTCGAGCTTATCCCTAAGATGACTGTTGTCTGGATGAGCGAAAGTGTTCCCAATTGCTTACTTAAGAGCGCTCATGAAGGAAAGCTTGTTAGATTCACTGTGACAAAGGATATGCCTTCTATCGGTTCCTACTTGAAGACCAGGTGATTGTTTTACCTCTTTATGCGCATACCAAATTCTAATTGAAGGCTATTCCAGTTGCTCGCTACTTTCCATATGCATTGGTCGATTTTTCAAAAAACTTCGAACTGATTATCCGGATCAATACATTGATTTGCATTTCCACACATACGAAGCTCCTTTCGTATCAATGGAGAATGATGAAATAACAATAAATTCAACTTTTGCTATAGATTTCCATATAAATCCTATGAAAGATCATCCTAAATCTTTGGCTAGGCTAGGTAAGTTTAGAACGAGTTTAAAGGGAAAAAACTAGCCCTACTAAAATTTCAGTGCTTTCCTCATCGTCCTCTGTAATCCCAGAGATCGTAGACAATAGATTCACGGGAAACCTTACAGGGACCCACGATGAGATTCGAGAAGACTTTTCGGACATTGGTGAAATCCCCCAAACGTGAGTTTTACACTGCAAATGAAACTGAGCTAGGATTTTTTCAAAACTATTCTAGATTTATGAATCTGTTCGAGAAAGTGTTCACCATGACAAGTCGAGTTATGGTTGAATCCGTCCTTCATAAAGGCGTTCCCATACCCATCTTTGACAACGTAACAATATCAGGTGAGAATGGGAGCGATGTTAGCGGTTGCGGATGGTACTTTAGTTGAGGAAAAAGGGGGAAAAGGGATGGGATGAGGAGAGGGAAATGGGAAGGGTCGGAAGGAGGCGGCGCAGGCACAATTAGGGGGACAATCACAAATTTTTATGCATTACAGTACCGTCGCTGTCGCTGTTAAAAAAGACGTATTAAACGCGAAATCGCGTCGGAAGCGCCGC